AATGGTTAAACACTGGCAAGAATTAAAAATTAATGCAATTTATAAACTTTAGTGACGATGTGACACTGCCTCGACTGTGCAAGTAACAATTCCTCTATCAACTGTGCAGCATGCAGCTCGCTTATAGACAGACGCGATGTGGTGATTTGAAGCCATTTGCATATTTTGAGAGAGAGAGAACCGGCTTTACTGGCAAGATGCACATTAAATATCGCATGCAATTTATCGTGCAGCCCTAGCACGCGCGGTGATTCACTCACGCTGTTTGTGAAATTACGCCTCACACAAGGTTTTCAAATTACTTCATAAGTTATTTAATGAAGAAATATGAAGGATAGTACCTCACCAGAGACTGAGACGGCGCCGCTGCATGTTGTGCCAAACCTCACGGCAGCTCCATCAGCTTGAGATCGTTTTTTTGAGATCGGTCTTTTAGAGACCGCCGATCAATCATCCCAACATGATTATCGGCCGATAGTGATCGGTAGCCAATCGGTGCCTGTTAAACACGATTGCGGACCCTAAAGAAAATTATTCTATGCAGTTTAAAATGCTGGAAGCATCATTGTTTAGGTTTGCACCCCACAACTACATCAACTATTTTCTGACAGTGGCCGGGTAATGCATAGCAACTCACTGATATATCAAGGCAAAGCCCAATATTAAATAAAGAATATACTGTATGCATTCTAGGGGTGTTGAAATCGCGATGCAGATGAGGACGATTTGGTATCGGTTCAGTAATAGACCATAACAGTTTATAACGTACTGACGCTTTTATGACATTATTTGTCGCGTTCAGCTTGAAGCGCCGCTGCGCAGAATGATCAGTGTATGACATCAAGTACAGCGAGAGCGATAAGAGAGCAGACGAATCCTTATGCTTACGAATCGCTCTCGCGGTTTATGTCATAGACTGATCATACTGTGCAGCGCCACTTCAAATTGAACGCGCCTAATGGCGGAGGGAGGCGAGACGCGAGTGCGAGTAATTAAAAATGCTCCAACTACTTTAAAAGCCGACATCTGGGCACATTTCAGCTTTTATGAACAACCTGGTAAGCACGACCTGAAGACACACGCTGTGTGTAAATCATGTCATGCACAATAAAATATGCCGAGGGTAATAGCACTAACTTGAGAAACCACGTCAGGTACAGTTCATATATCTGACTGCATGTATTTATTGACAAAATTGTATACATGTGAAGTAAAATTTAAAATTGAGAATGCAGTGCATCGTCAATGCATTGTGATGCATCATGATATCGAATTGAACCGAATCGATGACATGATAATTATAATCGAACTGAACCGTGAGACCGGTGTAGGTTCACACCCCTAATACATTCACTCGGTATATATAAAAAAAATGCATACCTCAGTAACAGGCAGCTCCAGCTGCACCATGTCTTCTGGCTTGGACACAGGAGCCTGGAGAGCAGTGTCCAAAAGAAGAATCCCATTCAAGTCCTTCCTACAGCCAACAGCATAATCGTCCACAAACAGCACCTTATCCACGGCTGGGAAGTACTGACACCTCACCCGGCCCCCAGGTTTAGCTGTCACAAAACACACATACAACAAGAGAGGGTGATCATTAACATACATGCCAAATAATTAAACACAAGTAAAAAAAAAAATATTAAGTTAGAAACTATATTTGACATGAAGGATGCTGCTTCAATTTTTTTAATGAATAATGTGTCATATATTTTATTATATAGTATTTAATAATAAATAAAAACAATATATATACACACACACACACACACATTAGGGCTGTGCGATATTGAAAAAAAATGCGATATCATATGCGATACCTTGTTAAAAAATGCGATATTCGATATGCAATACGATATTGCTTAAAGTGTGAAAAATCTATTTAAATTATATTTTTAAATATTTAAAAATGAAAATTATATAACCAATTTGTTTCACATTCTTTCTTGGAAAAGAAAGAATCACTACAACTTCTGAAAGTGACCAGCAGTGTTTTAGCAGTACATAAAAAGTAATATCACAAATCAGAAAACGTAATTTTAACGTCAATGTGAATGAACAAAAAGAGGGAAAAAAAGAACAAATACACAATTTACAAGCACATATAAAATAAATAGTATTCAGGTACAGAAATTTTATAATTAAGTGTAAAATAACACTGCATTGTGTTCTAGGGCTGCAACAACTAATCGATAAAATCGATTATTATCGATAATGAAAATAATTATAAGAAAAATGTTATTAAACCTGTTATACTGTATTATGACACCACTTTTTTAAACTAAATGTCAACATCGTGATAATACCGCATACCGTGATAAAAGCATTATCAATTAATCGCAACATGAAAATTGATACCGGCATATCCCCAACACACACACACATTAGGGCTGGGTGATTTTCCTGATTTTATCGATTAATTCGAATTCAATGTTTTGCCACGATTTTATTTTTTAGAAATCGAGGAATTGCGATTTTGAATAGAAATATTACCAAATGTTAGAATTAGACACTTTGACAATATGCCGGTGATAACAGTAAAGAGAAAAAAATTATCGAACCGCATGTCGGCACACGTGATTAACCGCTCACGTGTGACGCACTCATAGCGCTAAGCACCATTCACACAGAATGCGCTTTTGTGTTGACAAAGATGCGACGCGGGCAGTGGAATAGGTAAAACACGCAAGAAGAGTGAACTTCTTTTAACTTGAGCACAGTGTTTTTAGAAGGCCATTTCATGCATGAGACACTGCAAGAGACACGAGTGCAACAGTCAAACACATCCATGTTTACAATGGAAAAGCAGCGCAATCGAATAAAAAAACCTGTAAAGAACTACTACTGTATGTCTGATATTTCATGTTTGCATCATGGTGACAAGCTGAAAGCTGCCGTTGTTTTTACAGAACATTTATAGATAATACCTTCAGTCATTTTGAATTTGAATTACCTTGACTTTTGAGATTTTTTTAAAGCATTTTCCTCGTATTATTTCTGAACACAATATGAATAAGACAAGTTTGTACAATATGTAGTTGTAGTTCATGCATCTTTTCTGCAAAGATATTTAACAAGTGATTTGTTTAACATTTACATCATGTTGACAACTTCATGTGTTCTGCACTTGGAATATAATTTTTTTAACTAGAGGGTTATTAAAGAAAAAGTTACTTGAATCATGTTGGATTTTTAAAGTCCCCATGAAATCAAAATTAAAGTTTTTTGGGTGTTAGTATCAATATGTTAGTCTTGTTAGATATAGTTATCTATAAGGCAGTGTGCTCCAAAACAGTGACAAAATTCGCATTTAGAAGATATAAGCATTCAAAGCTTTCAGTTCGTCACTTCCGCCAAAACGGCTCAACGTTTGTTTTGACGTCACATCGTACTTCAGCTTCTTATCAAACTTTTGGTCCAATCAAATGCTCTCTAGAGTCCGAAGCGCCCGCCGATTAAAAATCGTAAAAAAAAAAAATTTACTTTTTTTTTTTCCGAGAATCGGTCAAACGTTCTGGAAAAATCGAGATTTAAATTTTTTGCCAAATCGCCCAGCCCTAATATACATATTAAAATACATTTTTAAAAAGTATAAAGTAATAAGACACCCAAAGTCATGCATAACTAATGGTTAAAAGCTAATTGCATTTACAATTTACACTACCGTTCAAATGTTTGGGGTTGGAAAGATTTTTTTTAATCTTCTGGAAAGAAGTAGGCCTAACCAAGGCTTCATTTTATTTTATAAAAAATACAGAGTAATATTGTGAAATATTCTTACGGTATAAAAACTATTTTCTATTTTTAATAAATTTTTTAATTAAATTTATTCCCATGATGTCAAAGCTGAACTTTACTCTATTACGCCAGTCTTCAGTGTCACATGATCCTACAGAAATTATTCTAATATGCTGATTTGGTGCTCAAGAAACATTTCTTAGTATAAGCAGTGTTGAAAACAGCCGTGCAAATACATATTTTTGTTAATTTTTAAAAAAAAATTTCCCCCTCAGGATTCTTTGATTAATAAAAAGTTCAGAAGAACTTGAAATTAAATGAAAATCTTTTGTAACATGATAAATGTCTTCAGTGTCACTTTTGATCAGTTTTAAAGCCTCAAATTTTTTTAATTTATATATATAGTACTGGATTGCATCCCTATATACAGTGGGTACGGAAAGTATTCAGACCCCCTTAAATTTTTCACTCTTTGTTATATTGCAGCCATTTGCTAAAATCATTTAAGTTAATTTTTTTTCCTCATTAATGTACACACAGCACCCCATATTGACAGCAATATAATTTTCCTCGATAAAACGATATGAAGAGTTCGATAAATTTTCGACAATGTTTATGCACCAAAAGCGGAACAAAACAGCGCGACTCATTTTAATAATAATATATATCATTATTATTATAATAATACATATGGTGCGCCGCACCCCGCCCGGCAGTGTTCAGCAAGCATGTTTCACTCTCCTCATCACTGCGCGGTTTGACGCTCCGCTCTATGAATGTGTGTTCCGCTCGTGTACCGCTCATGCTCACCGAAAAAGCAAAGACCGCTCAAATAACGCGCTGACAGGAAATTTCTATGCAGTATACTTGTTCCTGTCTGCAGTAGCGCTACTGTGCTGTAACATGGTGTAGGCTAGTTCAGCTGTACTGGGCAACGCTGCTAAAATGATGCTACCTTCAGTGACGCTATGCTCTGCT